AGCATTAAATTTCAATTCGGAAAATCGTAGTTTTAAAAAAAGCTAAATCAATTTCCAAAAGTAGGCAGTCACCTTAACCAACCCCTTTACTTATTTTTAGTATAGAGACCGTGTAATGGGCGAGAAAATAGAAAACATTTGAAACTTTTCATCCCCTTCCCCTCCTAAGATTTCCAAAGCAGTAAACTGTTCCCCCTTTCCTAATTTAGAAAAAAGTAGCACAAATTCTTACACCCCTTCCCCTTAARCACTTATTTTAGAGGAAAGAGTGCTGTTTTTTCAGATGAATCCCAACTCATGCCAGATAAAACCCAATCTGACGGCGACGAGAACGCTATTGGGAGACTGCGTTGGTGAGCGAACATAATGATCTTCATTCATATTATTATCATTCTCATTTTATCAACATCCTACTATAACTTCGCGATATTCAGAATTAATGCAAGTCATCAAAACAAGTTCTGTAGCGAGGTCCATTTTCATTTCGGGGTAGTGTCATAAGCTTTCGACCTGGAATGTGTGGTGGTTTGTTTCAACCATCATTTAGAATACCAAGTCGACTTGGGCAGACTTATGATAATAAGGGCAGGACATCTAACAATCCTTTATGAACGTACTTAAGGCATTTTTCCTTTTCCCAAGAAGATCAGGCAAGCCGGCCTGGTTAGACCTCAGGCATAACACCATCCCTACCCCCTTTTCATCCTACATTATTTAAAATACAGCCAATCAGAATGCAAGAACGACGTTGTATCTTCGGTGGTATTCCACTGTTCCTTCCCATCAGGCATTGCGTCCTAGGCATATTTTCAATGGTGTGGCATAAAATAATAAAGCTGTTCAAACTATTGCTAAAGRTTTTTGTGTAAGCTACATGGTCTGGATGGACCTCATTATATTTACAAACATAACTCGTATTATTTTATATTGCCAAAAGCATGATAGCTATTAAACCATTGCTGAAAATGTTTTTTTGTGTTTTTAATTTATAGGTACMATCTTGAAAACTATCCTTCAGAAGAGAGTTTCACATCTCAAGAAATTCAAGAAGCCGTGCAAAACGACGAAGAAAAACTAACCATGGATTTTCTGGTGAGAATGTTAACTGCTGATTCTGCAATAACTGCCGCCTTGAGAAGAAAAGAATATGCGTCGTAGGAAGGCTAATATTCTGTACAGGTTTGACATAAATGTATTGCGCATGCTTCAAGGCGCAAGTAAGCGCTCATTGATATTAATCCCAGAATTTTGTTAGTCTTACTGGGTCCGCATGTTCCACTAAATGGCAGTTCGTCAAGCATGCCACATCGATATCAAAGTATGGGAGGGTTCTGGGGACGAGGGTAGCCCATACAGAACTCTGAACAATTATRGACACTTATTCTTGCTTTGCTATCAATCCCTAGAGAAGGAAATTACAAAATAGATAGCARTTGTTTTGGAAAACTCAATAAAATTCCTTTTGTCTTAGTTTTCCAACATGATGCCTACGACGTCGTCATGTGAAAATCAAGAATGGATGTATGTCTTAGTATCAACCAAAAAAACGTGTAGATCTGCAAAACTGAATTTTGATAATATTTTTCCAAGACTTTAGGGCCTTGAGTTGCGCAGCATAGGCATGCAAATTTGTGCATTCTTAAGGCCCTGTTACGCGAGACAATTTTTCTTGCAACWTGCGATGCAAAGCTGACGCAATAATGAATTGCAAGTTGCAGGTGAGATATCAGACGCTCGCAACTCTTATCGCAACTTGCATTKCAACGATTTCTTGGTCTACGATAATACCGAAATGTCAGCGTGGATATGAAAAAGCTTTGCTCCGATTGGTCATTTTCGACAGTGATTGCATTTCAGGTTGCGGGATATATGTTACACGCTGTAACTTAATTTGCAACGTTGCGAAAAGTAGAAGCTCGTTTAATTTTTTCTGCAACTTGCAACGTTGCATTGCATGTGGTAACACGCGCAATCCGTTCTGCAACTTTTGCAACTTGCAATAATAATTGCCTCGTGCAACAGGGTCTTCAGGCACCACGATACATAACTCAACTTTTATTTAGAGTTCAATAGCCCGGGTACGACTACCTTATTAAACAAATCAGAAAATGTTTTGTCGAGTTTCATAAGAACTCCGATTTTTTCCAAGTCATCACGACTAGTATTCGGCTCCTTTTGCCAAGCTGAGCATAGATACTCAAATCACTTTTTTSTGCGATTTTTTCGAAGAATTCTCTAGTAAAGGGAGACGTGTTTAACGAAAACTGCGTTTGAAGGCAATATTTGATTGACTCAGGGTAGTCGTAAAAACTATTCGAAAGTCAGCGATTCAAAAGTGACAAGGCTAAAGCAAATAAGGTGTAAGTCCCTTCGGTTGTCATTTCAATATCATACCATAAGACAAAGAAAAGGGTAGGGCTGTTGTTCCATGCATATGACCCTCCCTCTTTAGTCCATGCCTGTATGTTTTTACCTYATTCAGAAACTTTATTATATTTGAAAGACAGTTCCATTATTGCACCCTCTTATGAACACAGGAATTCCGATCCAGTAGGCACTTTGTGTTTACCTTCTAGATTCCATCAAAACTTGTTTTTTGTTCCATTGCAAAACATAAAAATCTGCTAAGTGAAAACTCGTAAATCACGGCTGAAAAGTCAAATGTCCAAGATAGCCAGTTTGTCATAAGCCCGCARGGGTCTCACCAATCAACATGTCTAATGACTTATAACGCATATCACTTTATTTGGCAAACTTGTGTAGRATGCTCCCATTATGCTCTTAATGATCGAATATCAAGCAAATTTGCTAGAACCTTAATTCTTTTGTTTTTGAGCGTTTGGGGTTTTGTCTCTAAGATAATGGAGCGGCTCTCATTGATCCCATAAACAAAAACAAGAAAAACAAAAGTAACATACTGAATATAAAAGCGAGCGTTAAAAGATAAGCGATGAAGGTGAAGATGAAGACGTCCGTTCCATCGTTATTCGTAAATATTTCGTAATAGATTCGTAGGGAGCTCGTTTACTGAACATCATTTCATGGCCCACAGTATTTACCAGTATTTTATTGATACTTAAAAGTACACTTTAGTTATAACTTTGAATAGGATGGGCCAGCTTGGTTATTGATGCATGACAGCGTAAGGTAATAAGAGTTAATAAGCCAATATAATAGATMGAGAGAGTGCATAAAAACAGGGCCAATATCTACAAGGTGTCCGCATCCAACCATTAAATCCATTAATGGCTCGAAAAGTACACGGGCTTAGAGAAAAGTATTTCAATTATAAAGAACATTCCCTTCCATTACCTCGCCTCGCCTCGCCTCGCCTCTCGTCTCCTCTGCCTTTTTCTTTTCTCACCTCTCTCCTCCACTCATGTCTTGTCTTCTTCTCCCTTTTCTCTTCTTTTCTTCTCTTCTCTCTTTTTTCTCATTAGAAGAATTTTCTGTTGAGCATATCGAGGTWAAATAATCTTGATAACTGACATCCATAAGTTCTTTCTTAGTCTTTAACAAAACAGTCATTGTCGTTACCRAATGAGTAACATAAACGCAGCACATGCAGCAGAAGAGCTATCATGGTGCGTCAGCGCGCTCGTAACGTGCACATGTCAATKACATTCACGCACGCGAAGAAAAACTAGGAAACAAAACAAGTTTATAAAAGATGGTCATCAATACCATCTTTAKGTCTACTATGAATACAGTAGCTGTAGCTCAACTAGGATAAACACAACTCAAAAAGAACCACTTATAGTGTTGTATTGTTTAGATAGACTCTTCTCAGAGAATTCAAACCGTGGTCTAGTAATAATAGCTTAGGTTATTGAGATGGCCATGTGTTGATTGTAAGAGTGTTGTGCGGGTATCGCGCTCTTCCACTCGAGTCTTTGTTGTTCACTTCTAGTCGATATTACACCAGAATACACAAATAACATCATAAGTGGTCAATTATACCGTCTTTCTTTTTCAGCACTCGTGAAACACTTTCACGTATGTTTCTTTAATTGCGTAGTAGACCCCTTGCGACAATTCACAGAGCACCTCAAACGAGAAGTCAATACAATGAATTTCAATTTTCGTGACAGTAAGCCGGATTTATTGTTTTGTCCTCGGCTCCAGAATGAGCTGTATTGGGAACATGCTACGAAGGGTGCATAGGAGAAAGTTTACCCATAACCATGCCCATATACTTTGATTTTTTAACTTGTTTTTACTGCACTACGATCAGAACTCGTAATAACTATTAGGTCTAAATACTATAAAATCTCCCATAAATCAACGTCTCTTTCTTAAACCTTAACTTTGCATTCATAACAAAAAAAAAATTGTAACCCATCGCAACCATTTAAGCAAAGAGAATCYTGGAAACAGCCAATTCCTTTGCAACACCGTTCGTTTGATTTTTTTGATTTCCTTTAAGCGCGCAGTCTTCTTAAGAACATTCAATTGTTTCATCTTATTATTCTTTAGGATTAATAATTTTATCATTTCTTCATGGTACTGCGGAGATAATAATAATTCAGTGCTGCGTAGTTTAGGATCATTAGCGGTCATAAAACCTTTACCCAGCTCATCGCGAGTCTCGTTTTGCGCAAATTAATCAGAACAGTGTCAGTAGTGCTCATCCACCGCCTGTCTTATGGCGCCTGGCAGTCGAAGCCAACTCAAAACAATACGTCAATATCTACTCTATGTCCATTAAACCCTGTGTCATATTATTTCATRTAACTTGATGCCTGTCGCCGGCTTTAAAACAATTTCCTCGTCTGTTTGTTAAGCATATGGAGACTTCTTACTTACAAAACGCCCGCTCGCTATCTTATTTCAGGGTGTGGYATTTCTCTTAGAAAAGTTTTACTCCGAATTTAGTTGTTTTTCCAAAAAATATATATCATGTGATTGAATTTTACGACACAAAAACGACACCAAACTATTTTTTTACCACCCCGAGGCATTTTCAATTGTTGAATGCCTTTGTCGCAGTTGGAAAACAAGAAAAAAATCACTATGATACTGTTTTTTGTTGAATGCTCCAGTAATTGTTTGTCCGAYAACAAGGGAAAATATCGGTAAATCACTAATAGTTTTACCAACGACTGCTAAAAGAGAAAAAAGAAAAGTTGGAAAATATCCATATGCGCGAAGTATCTAAYTGAAAGTGAGTTTCTGGAAATTAGTATAGAAATTTGGCAGATTAATACACGGTAGACAATACGATTTAAACCATATACATTACAATGGCTTCTCAAGTTTGGCCGTAGGAAACAATATACTTCCGTTTGAAGTTTGAACATTGATAATATGAGTGTTGAGCCCGAAAGACCTGTTATAACATTTATAACTTTTAAGGTTGTTGAGAGAGACATTTCATCTATAATATGATACCATCTTCACAGAAACACTTACTGGATATACTTCCTGTTTTATTAAATTAATCCAACRAACCGGTTTATACTGAGGTTTACTTCTATTGTTGTTATTATTATTTTTCTCAAATGTAGTGCATACCATGTATATCCGTGAAAAAAGATAACTAACAAAATTGTACAAATTAGTGCAAAGTTTTGTAGGTCTACGGTCTACTGAGGTCTACTTAAATTACTAATTTGTGCAAATGTTTGCAATGTCTCTCTAAATTTTTCATGGATTTTTGGTTTGCACTCTGATAACCAATAAAAGTAATTGCTTTGTTAGATTAGGGGAGCATTAGCTTTTTTTTCATTGTTGTATTTTAAAATATGTTTTGTGCACAGTTTCTCTTATTTTCAAACTTCTAAATGTTCCGTGACCATATCTCAAGTTGTTTACTAGTGTTTGTCGATGTGTTGGTGATGTTTCACCTGTCCCGTGGCTAGGGTGTGTCAAGATTGTCTAAGGGTACCTGTAGAAATGATGGTGCCAGAATTCGTATTTGTTGGTGATTAAACACAAACAACCCGTAAAATGATATCCGAATTAAAAGATTTTTCACAAATTAATACCCATTTCGAAAGCACCTGTGTCCTTGACGCCCCGTTCTTGTTGAAACGGGTTTCAGGATGTCTTCAAAATTCGTGGTCAGTTCTGTTTAGTTAACAAGTTAAACAACTCCGCCTTAGTGTCAAAAATTTGACAAAAACTTTTGGCACAATCATTTGTGACGAAAATAAACATATTGGAACAATTATAATAACATAGCATCCTACTGTGAGAGAATTCACGTAGCATTTTGGAGTGCCACATGGCTCATTGCTCGGACCGGCTTAAAAGAATATTATTCCGCTAAAAACTCTACCTGGTTAAAAAAAATTTCCCCCGATAGATATTAAAAGATTAGTATCCAGTAATCAATCATTAATGACATTAAGTTTTTAWTGGAAATGTGGTATTCTCGTTTACATATTAGCCGAGAATTTACAACTTTATCCAGCTGCGAAAAGAACTAGGAATGGATCGCATTTAACTTTCTTTCGACATTCAATTCGTAGAGTCAACACTTTAATAATCTGCTTTGTCTTAAGATTAATGTCGTTACAGGGATTTTATTGAAATTTGGATCCCATTTTTGAATTCTGCGAAGCTCAAATTTTCGTTGAATAGCAAGCTGTCAAAATTCTATAGCACCACCAGCAGAGCTGATTATCACTCTGGCTGTGGTTCAGTCAAATGAGGCTTTCCAAGGCTTAATTGCAAAACGTTAAAATTAGTAAATGAATAACTAAATTTGGAATTAAAAGTGTTAATTTTCTGGTTTATGTATACTTTAATTTTGAATACTGATTAGTGATATAACAAATATATATAACAATACATTGTCAAAACCTAGGTACTGTAAATCACTCTCAATAATAACCTTCAATCTAAAAGTTTTTAACTTACCCTGAAACAACCTCTAGGCTGATCTAAGACCGGGGATGGCTAACTCACAGATCCAACCCTGAACCAACCTCTGGGCTGATCTAAGTCAGGGCATGGCTAACTCACAGATAAAACCCTGAAACAACCCCTGGGTTATTCTAAGTCAGGGCATGGCTAACTTACATGTGCCGGATTTGTCGGGAACTTAGCATGCCAGATTTGGTGAAGGAAAACACAGATAACCAGGATAAAAACTTTTGAATCAAGGGAGAGGCCCAACTTAGGGATGCATAATGCTATATTATTGGTATCACTAGGTCTTGAAAAATTTGAACATTTCGTTTCCCTAAATAAATGAAATGTTATGATTGAAGGAACGTTCCATTCCAGCTAAGTGGTGAATGCAGGGCGCAAAGCATGATTAGACAAAATGACTGGCCCTTAGCTTAAAAGAACGAAGCAAACCTAGCGATAAAGTGAAACTGTTTTTATTCTTCCTTTCCATATTTCTGCTTCTTGTAGGCATGTATATTAATTTTTTTGTCGAAAGAAAACAGAAAAATATAGTGGGGTTACAGTAGCCAGGAAATAAGAGCCGGCGGCAAAACAGCTAAACGCGCTGTGATTGGCCATAAAACAAAATTCCCCGCTCAGCTGGTTACATCTAGACAAAAACGTTGTTAATACCTTCTTTCTTAAATCTAATTAGAACGTGGTCGTGGCGGATTTGGAAAATAATTTGGAATTAACACTTGAACATGTTGTGGGATGTGCTTGTTACAGTGGTCGCAAATGAGGAGGGAATGTTGCGATATAGAAATTTTGTAAAAATATGAAACAACCTAATCAGTGATTAATTTTGGCGTCTCGGGATAAAAAGCTTATTTTTGCTTTCGACTCGAATTTTTCTAACTTGCCGAGGGAAGAAACAAGGAGCTCTCTATATTAAGCTGCAACATGGCTTCTCCATATATATGCAACATTCCCACCGTAACTCTTAGTAATCAACACCAAGAAAATATACTTTTGAATATAATCAGCCAGTCTATTGATTATTACAAATTACCGTCCTAAAATTATTATCTAGAACTAATAAAATATATACATATATATATATATATATACACTCGATTGCAGAAAGGTTTTAGTATACATTTATACAAATACCTAATTTATTCAGTATATTTAATGATATGCTAAACAGAAAA